GTATGTATGTATGTATGTATGTATGTATGTATGTATGTATGTATGTATGTATGTATGTATGTATGTATGCATCCACGAATAGACGGATGGATGGATGGATGTAAAGAGGTAGTTATGTGGACGTATTAGTTCGATCGTATTAGTTTTCTTTAACACTCATTTCCCAAGCACGGATTTATTCACAACACAACTCTCCACTTCAAGATAGATGCGAATGATCGGCACATCTGTGGTTAGTGATCTAATGATCCTTGTTGATTCAAACGGACCATCTTCCATATTTACCTTCGTGCACAGCCTGCAGTAAATCCAGTTAAAAGAGCTCCATGGAAGCACAGAAATCCACTTCCACCCTTCTTGCAGCTTATAAGTGATGTGTATGCATTGGCGTAACGCAAGCTTCAAATATGAATCCATCGCATGGAGGGCATTTGTGCACCCACTTTAAAGACCAAATTAGACTTACCTAGGATTATGGAATTCAGTACACACATTTGCAGTCTTCAGTGATAATCGTTCACCTGTTGACCAGATAGTAAAGTGTGATTATCTTGTTAAATATAATCAAATGTCTCCTATCGGCTTAGATCTCCTTCCGAACTTGTCGGATTATTTCAATCGTTTTACAAATCTAACTAGGTAAATCTTATCAGTCTTTGTATGAACTGACTTGCTGCATGTTAGCATAAACATCCCTCCGGAGAGTTTAGTGTTTTCGGAATAAATGGTGAGCTGGATAAACAGAAGATTGTTCGTGTATAGTTTCGATGGTCAAGCATCAAAAATAATATATCATACTACTAGTCAGAAGTAGTTGTGCATCAAATCGTCTGTATGTAGCTGCATTCCTAACTCTTCCAGTTTCAAAGTTCTCATGGAACCAAACATTTTTGATTACAAGTATTGTTGTGGCCTGCGGTCGAGTGAAACGTTTACCGTTCATCATCACATGATTGACCGTTGCGGCCTGCCACCACACGCACGGACGCACGTCATGCGGACTTACCCTGTTACAAGGTCGGTCCACCTCAGCGAATCAGAGGTCAGTATTGATCTCTCCTCATTGATTGGTTCGTTGACTGCCCAGCGTGATGACACTCCTTTTGGTAAGACTTGAGCCAGTTCTGTGCCTGCCTGTCTGCCTGTTGACGCACTGCTTGCTCACCGGCTTACGGACCGGCTACGTTTGCGTTTACATACTGGAAATATAATTACTACTTAATTCACTACTTGCGTACTTACTGACTCATACCGGATACAACAAGTATCATATGAGTAGCACCAAAAGGACTCAGAATTTTCATACAAATTCTCAGATGAAATTCCAAATAGTTTTTTTAGTGAATAGACATAATCGGAATCCTACAGAAATCCGCAATTACACCAAGAACACAATGTGTCAGCCAGTGAAATGTGCACACAAATCTGTACAAAACAACCCATTTTTATGGACTGCTAACATGATAGAGCAACACGTGGAAGTAAGCATTGGGTAAACTGCGACCTGATAAATGTGATTACTTCACGTTGTTTGCCGTAAAACAGTCACACACAGCACCCAAAACAAGGACGTTTTAATGCATGCGATATGCCACTGGCATTCTGTGACAGATACAAACTCGGTGAACATATATTATCGGAGATCGTAACCGTGGTTCACGGTACAATCAGTGCTGGATTGGAAATTTCAGAATGTTTTCACTATGTGGATTGTGCCATATACCATCTGTCAGCTTGGGTAATGCCGGACAGGAGATTTTCGACTGATTCGTTTTACCTGTGATGCTGTATTACGCGAGCTGGATAGCAAATACCCTTGCAGATCTTAAACTTCCAACTAGCCTTTCAAGTATCTCTGGTGGCGTTAGGACGCCAGCCTTGCTCCGAGAGACTGTACGAAGGTATCACTGTGGGCCTGGTGCAACTGTAAAACATGTCCGTTTCGAATTTGGGATCTTTTACTCTTGGAAGTGCTTTACATTCACCGGTCAGGTAGCATTGCACGCAATTTTGTGAGTGCATGCTATCAACAAAGATCAAATGCACTGCCAACTTCCCGCTAGATAATGTTCCGTCGCTGTACTATCTCCGCCTGCTCGTTTACCTGTTTAAAATATTTACCCAGGGCCTACCGCTCAGCGTCTCCTCTGACCCACGTGGATTCGACTGAACAATAGAACTTAGAGGTCAAGAAATGACTTGTGGCCAAGGTTTCAGAACGTGCTAAGTGTGTTTGTGAGTATAAGCAAAGCTCGGTTACCACGTTGGAGCGGTAAAGATCAGGAGGACATACGGATAATGGCACATAATACAACTGGAAGCAGAATCCCATGGTGACGGTGTATTTCCCTCTGTCATGGACAATGAAACTAACAATCAACCAATTTGTACTACATCATTCTAATTTCATCTATACCATTTCTCCCGTTGTTCGGCGCCTGGTCTGAATTGGAGCTAGGGTGAAGACCAACGCTTTCAAGGTCTGGCTCCATCACCGGTGTGTATATTGAGGTAATTTCTTCACTAGCCCACGCTTGCTTATTCCAGATACTGTCGACTGCAGTGCAAGAAATTCCACTGTGATTTACGAAAGTAAAAAAATCTTCCTCATTACTAAACGGATCAGTAGGAACATGGAGGTCGCAAGAAGTATATTGGTATTTCTCTAAAGTGTTTTACTTAGAACGTCGCATATGGCATTCATGTGCATTTTGAACCAAAGTTGAGTAACTGATGAGTTGAATACAGCTCAGACTTCGGCAGTTACAGAGAAACTAACAGAACGGAAAATACATCAGCTCTACGAAGTAATAGAATCCCGGCATTGATGGGAAGCAGGTAGACAATAATATCATTCGACGGTTTGCGCGTCAGGGTTTTCAATACAATAAAATAAGAAGTTACTTTTTCATTATACCTCTAAACTGCTAGAAAGACAACCTCAACTCCTTATTCACTTTTTGAGAAGTAAATTTTTAAAGTAGCTTATATCCCAGGTTTATTTTATCGTGTTCCACGCTTTGCTTCGAAATTGGGGCACAAGTCGGCTTCATTTTGGTGCCCTTATTGCCAGTGGATTCAAGTATTTCTCTCTATTTCGCCCAGCAATATCGTCTTGTAAATACTTAACCACACATGGACCCCATATTTTTGCTTACAAATATCCTAGCTGATAATTTTTCTGTGTTTTACTTTGGACGTTATTTAATTGCAAGGAGCCATTCGTCAAATTCTTTTTCGTAATAAATGTGGTTTGTCGAACACCTACTCCATTTATTTAACCAATCGTTTAGCTGTGATCTCGGTGTTTCTCACAGACTATCACGTACCCGAATCGACTACTGGTAGTTATACACAAAGAATTTGAAGAACTGTTGATCTGATTTTCCCTAAACTTAGCCCAGTATTGAGTATTGTATTTTCCAGGTGGACTAGTATGCCAACTCGCTGACCTGAACACGACACGCTATTGTAGAAAATTTGAAAGCTGTTTATCCTCTGATTCCGTTGATTAGTCTACCGTTTGTTTTATAACTTGTGATCGGTGTATTCTCTCCTACAGCCCTGCTCACTCAGCACACCCAACATTTTATTTCAGTTCAAGCTCTCGCATCCGCCAACTACGATGGTGGGACATCAGATGCCCTACTCGTACGTCTTGGGCTGGGTAAGGGTAGTGGCAACAATTCAACAGCCGGTTCAGCGTGCACCAGTAGACCAGGTTGTCGGATATCACGACATCGCAATTGGTGGATGCGAGAACTTGAAGTGCAATAAGATGTGGCACTCGTTGAGTACGAGGTTTGAAGGATGAGATCACTCAGCTCAAAGAAACGAAACATACACTGCATCATGCGCCTCCTGGATCGCAAACGTGGGTGGTCTGGCGTCAAGCCAGAAATTCTGGATGTTAGTTACATTGTTCGGGGCCGTTCATACTACTGTCCATTTCTGTCAGCACGACCAATGATGCTGCATTTCTGCTTGTTGAGCTTTTACCACTCAGCTGTACATTGCATGCCTATTTTTGGATCTTCAGAAGTCAAAAGTAAATGGAAAAGTTGATTGCAAATGTCTTCCATGTATGTATTTGTGGCCGCATTTTACGCGTAAATCAATGTACTGGTGTATACTCGGGAAGACTGGTGTGAATGGAACGAAGCGTATCCACGTAACGGCAAATAGAGACGATTGGATGATTCAGTTGCATTATAATTCAGTAACCCAAACTAACACACGCACGTTAGCTGCTACGTTTGTTTCAGAAAAAACACATTCTTGCTTTTTCTGTTTTAACTTGCTAAGCTCGTAATGAGAAATATGGAACGGTATTGTCGATGTCACGGAACCAGTGGGTCATGTACCTTACGCACATGTTATCGGCGTACACCTCGAATGCGCACATTAGGAAATCTGCTGAAGCAAATTTACGAGACCAACTCAATTCGCATCGATTCGGGTACGTCCTTTGTTTGTTTGTAATATGTAACTCCTACATTTTCCGTGATTCCATTTTGAAGAATTAACAATTTGAATTTCATCAACAGGAGGCCAAACTAACTCGAAGTCAGGAAAGATGACCGATAACTTGTAGTTTAAAGTGAGGAACCTCTCGAAGCCCAGATAGGATATGCACAGAATTCAACCGGGTAATACCGAGATGAAATTATCCCGTTGGTCACAAATACCTGCACATGAGAAACAGGTGAATCACGAATAGGGACTTGAGAAAAACGTACTGAATAAGATCAACTAGAATAGGAGTTGTGTTGAGTTTGACGGCAATACGCCAACATGTGGACTAAGTGAAAGTAAGTGAACAAAATTTAATCCCTGCCGCCACCAACACTGTGGTCGCCACAAATGCAATCTACTTAACGCTGAAGAGACCCTTTCGGCTTTTAGTCTCTTCGCCATCTAGTATTTCTTGAACTTTCTGAAGTAGGAGTCGAAACTGGAAAATTCGATCTGTGTCTGCAAAGGTTCAGTGCTTTCAAGGACAGTGGCTGTTGAACGCTGTGTCAGCTAACGTGATTGGGTGGCAAACGTTTGACGTCAATCCCATTGATGAAATTGAACGTACATAAAATATTTTAATCAAGTTCTTGTCTATTTTCTTTGCAGGTAATTCAATTAAATCATATTGAAATAATGTAGCACTCACAATAATAATCGGAATCGAATACTGCGAACTCGCATTTGGACCGATAACCCACTGAATAGCCCAAAGTTAGGTAGAACCAAGACTAGCTGTGGATACAGTTAGTTCTATTCGAAAAATCATGCAAATAAATAACCTAAGCATCAAACAATTAATGGTCCATTCATCGATGGCCAATCAACAACGATATGGCATATGTGGTTGCCTTCTTGCATTCAGCCAAACCCATTGCTCCTACTTGCGACCACGGGATTGGTTGATCAATCTGGTTCTTGATTGGCTACCTGGAAGCTGCACCGTGGTGCGTGCATATTCGTCGCACGGTCATCACAAATTATCGGTTACATATTAGCTGTATAAAATAAGAATAAACATTGCCTATTGTTACTCTATTTATTATTGTTGGTTTTCTTTTTGTTTTTAAAATATCTGGTGGAAACTCAGCGGTCTTTTTACTAAAATATACTTAAACATATGTGTATGAGGGAGAGAAAATCCGAGCTCAAATCAGCGTTATACACTGAAAGAACAAGGTGTAGTACAGGAGGATTTATGAACAATTTTATTCTGGCGAGAGCCGTGCCATGAGGGGAGCGAAGGAATTTTTGAGAAATACACCAGAAGGAGCAGCGTAGGATTTACTTAGGATTGATTGAGTTTCCAAAGGAAAATTTCCATTACAAAAAGCATGTACATCAGGTACACCTTGTTGACCAGTTCAGCCTTGGTTTAACGCAGTGAACACTGTCATGGACAATGTTCGAAAAATTAGAGCGAAGCAGCGGAGTCAGATGGGTGCAACGCACTGAGAAACAATAAAATATATATTATCTAAGTTTAGGCATACCAGACCAGGCCTTCGAATTTCAAGTGCAAGCTGTCAATAATGTGAGGCAAATAGTGAGCATCGGTACTCAGTGTCACTCCAACGCACGTAATGGATGCCGTTATGAGTAGCTAAAAGTTGGGAAAGGTGAACAGAAACATTACGGGAAACTAAGCGAATCGGGTTGAAATTAACTCGAGAAGACCTTAGCAATCCGAAGGAGTTGATGAGGGACGACAAGTACAGCTGCATTATTTGCACAGTTTAATGTGGTCCCATGGACGAGAGGGGGGGATGGGAGGTCACTGAAGTAAGCAAGGAACAACACCGTGATTATCTATCAAGAATGTGGATTGATAACCAGCTAATCTAGTGCATTGGAAGCACATATCGGAAAACAGTTGATGAGTTATGCCAATAATTTAGATTAGGAACGAAAGAAAATACAGTTTTTGCGGTAAGAGGGATCCAATAAAGATGCTGAGAACCGAGGAATAATCCCGTAAAATGCACCTCATACATATTTAGCGGAACTGCTTCGCGGTTTCCGAATGAGAAGAACCGAATGGATGGAGCACCAAGTGAACTCCTGAAACATTCATAAGAAATTCATAGATTTCTCTGTCGGCATAGCGGTGTACGGCACTTTATAGAATTAAAGAAGTCGCAGAGCACTTGCATGAATTCCATTTTGGGAACTGCCGCGAGCTACAACAGTGGTTTTTCTTATTCAACGAGTGATGAAAACTAACTCGATACGTTATTTTCGAAAGTTTCAAGTTTGAGCCAGGGAACACCATTGACGAATCAGTCTTTCGGTCTATGACCACATGTGAATCTGAGGTGAGTTCTCGGCAAACCATGTCCTCGCCAGATTGTACATTAGGAACAATCATGTCACTGACACAAATCGCGGAGGACGTACATGCTGACTGAATGAGAACGTATCTGTTTAAACGATCTGAATACTTCTGTTGCGTACATTCAAAAGCATCATCAGATCAACTGACAGTAATAGAAAACCCGTAGAGATATGAACGCATGAAAAAAGAAATACATTATCGAATTAGAAATCAGGTGCAGCACCAATGTACCGTATAAGAAAATAAATAGACTCATTGAAGAACTCGTTGTTATAGTGGGAAGGGAACCAATTCTATTGTCGCTTGTAGGAAAACAAACAGTTACAATAGTGAGAACAAAAGGATGTGTGAATTAAATGCTGTCAACTCCTTCTAGGCTTTTGGATGGGAGTAGAACCTCTGAGGTGGTAAAATATTGTGGCTCTTGGGGTATATTAGGGTTTGGTTGTCTCCCTAATTTCGCCAAATCACTCATGTGTTTCCTAGAATGTGAGTCCTGTGGTAAAACCATAGAGTTCTGAGGTTCATTTGACATGCCTATTGTATCAGATCAGTCTTGAAACTTTTTGATCCGAAGTATATTTTTTAACTAGTCTGTCCATCATAAATAAGATTTTACCAAATACTTTGCGCTTTCATTATTGAAGTCTGTGGGTTTTCTGTCAACCCAGTTACTGGTCGAAAATAATTTTTTTGTGTTACTGACAAATTAATATGTTTCTGCTCATAATTCAAAGGTACAACAAGTTGTAATCGGGAAATCTCTCGTAATACTAGAGCCATTTTTTTTCTGGTAACTGCGAAACAATGCATCCATGGTTGGAAGCCATTACATAAAGTAAAGTTAATGATGTAACGCGAAAATTATTTCCGCTTCTCTGAAGGGTAACAGAACCGATACCTACATCTGGTGCCGTTTTACATGTGAAAATTTTCTACTCTTACAAAACATTAGGGTTTGCAAATGACTCGTTTCCTAGTGACGAAAGGAAGGACGCAGTATATAATGTATCGTTGAGGAGAAGAAACTAAGTTGAACGCTGATAAATTTCTTTTAGACATATAGCTCAAGATATTCATATATATATGGTCCTATTGTATACTAGATTACTAAAAACCCTACGCTGGAGCTAAATCAATTCAATGGTGCAACACCTGGTCGACAGTGGATACATGATTTGATTTGATTTTACAAGGATCTTCACAACAATCAAGAACTGCAATATAGAATTACTTTACATGATCCTGACTCAAGGGAATCGATTGCAATCTGGATTATGATACCGAAATTGTGCTGGCAACGCAACCGGATGCAAGCTCAGCTGTTGCCATGGCCACGAAAGCGGCTCTCCGATAGATCAAGGGAATATCTCTAGCCTTTTCTTCCTCACTCTCCTCGTAAAGACTCCTGTACACACTTTCAGACCTGCTTTATTCAACCCCGACCAAAACTTTACTTAGCGTATGCAGTTTACACATTGTTCACTCTACATTTCCCTACCCACTACGTGGTTCCTCATGGCTTGTTATCAACCCCACATTTCGCACGCAAGCCCATTCAATCATTCATCTCTTTTAATTTTTACTTCGTTTTATTGAATATACAATGATACCATTTTCGCGAAGAAGGAAACAGCCAATAATCGGGCTGTCAAGCAAAAGCATGGGGAAAAGTTAGATGGTGGTGATGGGTTCCGAAAACCAACTTAGAAAATTTAGTAATCTATTAAATAATGTTACTATATATGTAAATACCTGAAGCGATATATCAAAGAGAAATGTCTTCGAATTTCCAATTTCCTCTCATGCATCGATGGAACTGGGAACTTTTCCAGTTTGGTCAAAGCTAGCCAATTTTTCCACCTCACTTATCTGTTCTGCATTCTTTAATTTTCAGAAACCGTGCTTATTGGAACCGAACCATCACGAAAGAGAACAAAGGAAAAAACTATGAAAGATAATGATCATCCGTCGCTTGAGTCAAAGGATTCCGTTCGAAAAGTGTACGGACAAGATGAAAGTGTAGAACAGTGGAAGAGTGCGCTTCGATACGCGTCATCCCTGCAGTGGCCGGACTCTACACGTATCTATTTGAACGACGAATCGGTGGGTCAGAACTCGCGATTGGGACAACTCATCACTGGGTCTGACTTGTTTAATTTGCCAAACAAGACTGACCGGATCAGACATACGCAATTGGTCTATTATGAGACAGTACCGCACAGCTTGTTTTGCGAAGCCAATTCCCGTTTGCACATTCCTGGCACGCATCATCGCCTGTGCAATTCCACATCTACCGGTCCGGATAATTGTGCCCAATTATGCTGCGGTCGGGGTTTTCTCACGAATCATTACTATGCGATGGAATCGTGCAATTGCAAATTTATTTGGTGCTGTCGCGTCCAATGTCAGCAATGCTTGATTCTTAAAAAGATGGAAACTTGTTTATGATGCATTACGAAATTGTTTATACAATCACTGAATCCACTGGAATTACGTATACATATGCATATATATATACATATATATAATATATTGTACGCGTATGTCTGCATATGAATCTAACTCTTATTAAATTGATACATGATGAAGAAAGTTATTCATTACCTACCTCCTAATCCAATGAAGTGAAATGGAAACTTTCTCATCATAGTATTCTTGACTAACACACACACATTCATTCACATGTATGATCTTTATCATGGTGCCACAGTCCCAAAACAACAGACCGAGCAAGCACTCCTGATCAGACGCTCTTTCCCCGCTCATCACTCTATTCGCAGTGCATGTACTCACCGTTCTAGTAGGAACAGAGGTGGATAGATTTTCACCTTCCCAACCTCACCCACCCCCATACAAACAGTATCCAGTTTCCCCATCTTCCCTCGCCCCCCCCCCGAACTCCATACGCAATATTGTATTTATCAGTATCTAAGTAACATAAGGTGCTTTACCCGACCTTTATTAACCGAGCGGAAATTTGTATCATATCTAAAGAAGAATTTCACGAAAATACAGTTATTACCTTTTTCGTTCACACAAAAGTGTTTAATTTTACTGCTAAATGAACCACCCAAATGATCGAGGGGTATATAAAGGTCTGTTTGGGACACTACTCAAAGTCGAAACGGAGACGAACGAAATGCTTATGTTTCCATAAGATTTGCCCTGCTTACCCATGTAACCTCAAGGTTAGAAGTCAGTTTACGTGCCCTTTGAATGAGATTTCTAGATCCATGTCAATCCAAAATCTCCTCGAAAGAAACCAAGTCAGCGTTATCAGTTTTTTACGTTGATCACAGAAGACCACCTGTATAATCAGAACACAGGTCGTAGGCGAACATATGTTTTCGGTGAGTTCCTTTAAAGCCCGTACAACCAAATTTATGGGATAAAATAACAGGAAGGTGTTGTGTTAGGGTTAAACAGTCGACGTCAAATAATTATAGCAAAGGGGTGGAGTAGGCACACATTCGTCTCGACACCCAAATCCAAAGTTGATCGAGTTAAAACGCTAGCAACAGCCGAGGCATTTACCATCCGTTGGTTGGAGCCAGAATCGTGTGATCAAAAACACTTAAACCTCCCCGACCCAAAATGGAGAACATCACGCATGAGCTTTGCAATGACCCAAATCAATCATCAAGGCTTGCGTAATCTATTCTTACCTGATCAACAGAACTAAAGGCAAATGTGTCCCTACCCCACCCCTTCGCTATAATTATTTGACCTAGAATGTTTAACCCCAACACAACACATTCCCGTTATTCTCTCACAAATGTGATTGTACTGGCTTGAAAAGAAACTAACCGAAAACATATTTTCGCCTACGACCTGTGTTCTGATTACCTCATTTCTACCTCAAAAACGCAGATTTCAAATTTTTTAAGCACGATGTACAACAAACACTTCAAGATCGATGTCGACTGTTACCCATTGTGTAAAACAATTCAGGCAATAAGAACAACTTGATGATGAAAAGCAAACAACCATGTTTCCCCTCTTTTCTCTCTGCGTATGCCACCATAACTTTGAATCCAAAAATGCCAAAAAACGACGGAGTCATTCGGTACCTGCCTTTGAATCGGACTTCGGTACTTAGATTGAATGAATGAATGAGGTGTTCATTCCATGCTAAGATCATCTTTGAGTTTCTGTCGCACAAAACAATTCTATCAAAACTTGAATGAAATTAATCCGAAAGAAGACAAGAACAAAAACCGCGGAAATCTGCGAATCGTATATGTCGAGAAAGCGGTCAGCTTCTTCATAAACAAACCAGACAAGTTCTGTACACCTATTTTTCCATCAAGCTGCCCAAAGGTAAGAGTACACTATTATACCCCAAAGCTTTTGGTTTCGTTTTGATGCACACCTCAACTTTGCCACTGAATTCTGGTGTCCTCCTATCACTAGTTCACCTGCTGTCCCGCGTTAACAAGGCCGTATCGTACGCCACTTCAAAGAAAAATTATTGCCAACTGAGAGTATTATAATTAGATTGGCTCATTCGGTTGTTCAGAGGCACCAGGCATCCTTGATGACCTTGGATGTAGGTTACAATCGGTTAAAGTTGAATGAATTCTAATGTCTATATCCTGCAGTCACATTCCTGAAAAAAACTGAAAGTAAAAAACTGCATTGCAAAAATCATCCTCCCCTACATTTGGAGGGTTGAGACCACAAGCAATTCTGTAGTACAAAAGTCTCAGAAATTATGTTCCCGATAAAAAGAACCCTCCAATCTTACGTGGCTCAGACACAACGTTATGCGAGACACAACCTGGATGATGTATGATCGCACAGGGATTCAAACACAGAAGAAAAACACGGGAAAATAATTTGGTGACCGCCTTAACAGATCACATGAGGTAGGGTGTATTGGCTCCAGACCGACAGTATAATAAGCTCGAGAGTTTTCACCGTATAGGGTGTGCATGTTTCGCATGCATGCTATGCTATGATCTATGCGCCTTAATGCCCATCTTGTGATTACTGGAGACTTCAACGCTGCGGCAATAGGTTGGCGCAGACTTCACGCTCCGGATATTACATTTAGAAGGCTACTACTCGACCTGGTCACAGAGCTGTCATGGTCTCAAAAGTCCAACCAGAATCAAAAAGCAAGTCCCTTTACTGCTAGACCTTGTCACAACAGATGATAGTCATCTCACGGACACAATTTAACAGCATTGCCCTCCGGGCAAGAGTGATCAAATTTAGCACACCAATTAGGGCCGAAGTAAACACACGTCTACGAATCCAACCAATCGGGCTTATTGAACGTTTCTCAGGGCAAGCGCGAGTTGAGAAGGAAGTCGGATACGAGCGTATGTAATATAATGTGACCTGCAGTGGAAGGTGTACAGAGAGCAAAGCGCACGATACAACTTACCGGAAATTGCGTCCGGTTCGAGGTCATATGAGTTCTCGAAAATGAGGGCAATAAAACAAAATAGGGCCTTTACATGTGTCGGAGGAATGGTGTTGGAAGATGAAAATATTGTCACTACACAGCTCCCCCTAGAAGGTTGGAGAGGAGCGACAAACCTTCGAATAGTCAAATAAACACGGTGTATATGTTTGTAGGTAACGTGACGGAGTGTAGAGTATACGAGGAT